GGAGCTCATAGTGTATTTTGCTCAGTTTCATAAGAATCTCGGGAGCCCTTTGAGTGTCTTTTGCTTAGTTACTTATGAATCTCGGAAGGGCTGAGCGTCTTTTGCTTAATTGCATAAGAATCTTGGGAGCCCTTTGAGTGTCCTTTGCTTAGTTCCTTAAGAATCTCACGAGTGTAGAGTGTCTGTTGTTTAGTTTCATAAAAATGTCAGGAGCCCTGCCTGAATCTCTTTTGCTTAGTTGCATAAAAATCTGGAGAGCCCACTGAGAGTCGTTTGCTTAGGTACTTAAAAATCTTGAGAGGCCTGAGCGTCTTTTGCTTAGCTTCATAAGAATCTCGAGAACTCTGAGTGTCTTTTGCTTAAAAATCTCACGAGTGTAGAGTGTCTATTGTTTTGTTTCATAAAAATCTCGGGAGCCCTGAGTGTCTTTTGCTTAGTTGCATAAAAATCTCGGGTCCCTCTGACTGTTTCTCGCTTAGTTGCTTAAAAATTTCAGAAGCCCTGCCTGAATCTCTTTTGCTTAATTGCATAAAAATCTAGAGAGCCCACTGAGAGTCGTTTGCTTAGGTACTTAAGAATCTTGAGAGCCCTGAGCGTTTTTGCTTAGATTCATAAGAATCTCGAGAACCCTGAGTGTCTTTTGCTTAATTGCATAAGAATCTCGGTAGGCCCGAGTGTCTTTTGCTTAATTGCTTAAGAATTTTTGGAATCCTGAGTGTCTTTTGCATGGTTGCATAAGTATTTTGAGAGCCCTCAGAGTGTCTTTTGCTTAGTTGTTTAAGAATTTCGGATGCCCTGAGTATATTTTGCTTAATTGCATAAGAATCTCGAAATCCCTCTGGGTGTCTTTTGGTTAGTTACCTAAGAATCTTGGAAGCTCTGATTATCTTATGCTTAGTTTCATAAGAATCTCGGGAGCCCTTTGAGTGTCTTGCTTAGTTACTTAAGAATCTCAGAAGCCCTGAGCGCCTTTTGTTTAATTTCATAAGAGTTTCGGGAGCTCTTTAAGTGTATTTTGCTTACTTGCTTAAGAGTCTCAGGAGCCCCGAATGTTTTTGCTTAGTTGTTTAGGAGTTTCTGGAGTCTTGAGTATATTGTGCTTAGTTGAATAAAAATATCGAGGGCACTCTGAGTATCTTTTGCTTAGTTACTTAAGAATTTCGGAAGCTCTGATTTTATCGTTTGCTTAGTTTCATAAGAATCTCGGGGGCCCTTTGAGTGTCTTTTGCTTAGTTACTTAAGAATCTCGGAAGCTCTGATTATCTTCTGCTTAGATTTATAAGAATTTCGGGAGCCCTTTAAGCGTCTTTTGCTTAGTTGCTTAAAAATATTGGGAGCACAAAGTGTATTTTGCTTAGGTGCATAGTAATCTGGGGAGCCCTCTGAGTGTATTTTGCTTAGTTACTTAAGAATCTTGGAAGTTTTGATTATCTTTTGCTTAATTTCATAAGAATCTCGGAAGCGCCGAGTGTCTTTTGCTTCGTTACTTAAAAATCTCGGAAGTTCTGATTATCCTTTGCTTAGTTTCATAAGAATCTCGGGAGCCCTTTGAGTATATTTTGCTTAGTTACTTATGAATCTCGGAAGCGTTGAGCGTGTTTTGCTTAATTGCGTAAGAATCTCGAAAGTCATTTGAGTGTTCTTTGCTTAGTTGCTTAAGAATCTCACTAGTGTAGAGTGTTTTTTGCTTAGTTGCATAAAAATCTCGGATCCCTCTGACTGTTTCTCGCTTAGTTGCTTAGAAATCTCAGAAGCCCTGCCTGAATCTCTTTTGCTTAATTGCATACAAATCTCGAGAGCCCACTGAGAGTCGTTTGCTTAGGTACTTAAGAATCTTGGGAGCCCTGAGCGTTTTTGCTTAGCTTCATAAGAATCTCGAGAACCCTGAGTGTATTTTCCTTAATTGCATAAGAATCTCGGTATAGCCCCGAGTGTCTTGCTTAATTGCTTAAGAATTTTTGGAGTCCTGAGTGTCTTTTGCTTAGTTGCATAAGTATTTCGGGAGCCCTCAGAGTGTCTTTGCTTAGTTGCTTAAGAATCTCGGTAGCTCTGAGTGTCTTTTGCTTAGTTGTTTAAGAGTTTCTGAAGCCCCGAGTGTATTTTGCTTAATTGCATAAGAATCTCGAAATTCCTCTGGGTGTTTTGAGGGAGCCCTTTGAGTGTCTTTTGCTTAGTTACTTAAGAATCTCGGAAGATCTGATTATCTTCTGCTTAGATTCATAAGAATTTCGGGAGCCCTTTAGGCGTCTTTTGCTTATTTACTTAAGTATTTCGGAAGCCCTGAACGTCTTTTGTTTATGTGCATATGAATTTCGGGAGCCCTTTGAGTGTCTTTTGATTGGTTGCTTAAAAATCTCGGGAACCCCGAATGTCTTTTGCTTAGTTGCATAAGAATCTCGAGGGCCCTCTGAGTAGCTTTTGCTTAGTTACTTAATAACCTCGGAAACTCTGATTATCTTTTGCTTAGTTTCATAAAAATCATGGGGGCCCCCTGAGTGTCTTTTGCTTAGTTGCATAAGAATTTTGGAAGCCCTTTGAGTGTCTTTTGCTTGGTTGGTTAAGAATCTCGGGAGCTACAATTATCTTTTGCTTAGTTCCATAAGATTCTCAGGAGCCCTCTGAATGTCTTTTGTTTAATTGCATAAAAATTTCTAGAGCCCTTTGAGTGTCTTCCCTTAGTTACTTAACAATCTTGGGAGTTCCGATTATTTTTTGCTTAGTTGCATAAGAATCTCAGGAACCCTCTGAGTTCTATTGCTTAATTGCATAGGAATCTCGGTAGCCCCGCGTGTCTTTTCCTTAGTTGCTTAAAAATGTCGGGAGGACAAAGTGTATTTTACTTAGGTGCATAGTAATCTCGAGAGCCCTCTGAGTGTCTTTTGCTAAGTTACTTAAGAATCTCGGAAGCTTTGATTATCTTTTGCTTAATTTCATAAGAATCTCGGGAGCCCTTTGAGTGTCTTTTGCTTAGTTGGATAAGAATCTCAAGAGCCCTGAGTGTCTTTTGTTTAGTGGTTTAAGGATCTTGGGAACCCTTTGAGTGGATTTTGCTTAGTTGCATAAGAATCTCGAGAGCCCAGAGTGTCTTTTGCTTAGTGGCTTAAGGATCTTGGGAACACTTTGAGTGGATTTTGCTTAGTTGCATAAGAATCTCGGGAGCCCTCTGAGTCTCTTTTCCTTAGTTTCATAAAAATCTTGGGGCTCTGATTATCTTTTGCTTGTCTGAATAAGAATCTCGGTAGCCCTTAGTGTCATTTGCTTAGCTGGTTAAAAATGTCGGTAGCTCTGAGTGTCCTATGCTTAGTTGCTTAAGATTCTCAGGAGCCTTTGTGACTTTTGCTTAGTTGCAAAAAAATCTCGGTAGCCACAAGTGTTTTTTGCCTAGTTGATTAAAAATCTCGGGAGCCTTTTGAGTGTATTTTGCTTAGTTGCACAAGAAACTCGGGAGAACTTTGAGTGTCTATTGCTCAGTTGCATAAGAATCTCGGGAACCCTGAATGCCTTTTGTTTAGTGGCTTAAGAATCTTGAAAATCTTTTGTGTATATTTTTCTTAGTTCCATAAAAATTTCGGGAGTCTTCTGAATGTCTTTTGCTTAGTTGCATAAGAATCTCGGGAGCACTCTGAATGTCTTTTGCTTAGTTTGATAAAAATCTTGTGAGCTCTGATTATCTTTTGCTTGTCTGAACAAAAATCTCGGTAGCCCTTAGTGTCTTTTGCTTAGCTGCTTAAAAATTTTGGTAGCTCTTATGCTTAGTTGCTTAAAATTGTCAGAAGCCCTGGTGTCTTTTCCTTAGTTGCAAAAGAATCTCGGTAGCCAGGAGTGTCTTTTGCCTAGTTTATTAAGAATCTCGGGAGCGTTTTAAGTGTATTTTGCTTAGTTGCATAAGAAACTCGGGAGAACATTGAGTGTCTATTGCACAGTTGCATAAGAATCTCGGGAACCCTCTAAGTGACTTTTGCATTGTTGCTTGAGAAGCTCGATAGCCTTGAGTGTATTTTGGTTAGTTGTATAAGAATCTCGGGAGCCCTGAATGCCTTTTGCTTAGTGGCTTAAGAATCTTGAGAATCTTTTGTGTGTATTTTTCTTAGCTGCATAAGAATCTCGGGAGCCTTCTAGTGTCTTTTGCTTAGTTGCATAAGAATCTCGGGAGCCCTCTGAGTGTCTTTTGCTTAGTTGCACAAGAATCTCGAGAAGCCTGAATGTCGTTTGCTTAGTTTCATAAGAATCTCAGTAGCCACTAGTGTCTTTTGTTTAATTGCTTAAAAATTTCGGTATAAGACTCTTGGAAGCCCCTTGAGTGTCTTTTGCTTAGTTGCATAATAATCTCAGCAGTCCTCTCTGCGTCTTTTGCTTAGTCGCATAAGAATCTCGAAAACCCTGAGCGTCTTTTGCTTAGTTGCAAAAGAATCTCGGTAACCCCGAGTATCTTTTGCTCAGTTGCTTAAAAATCTCGGAAGGCCTGAGTGTTTTTTGCTTAGTTGCTTAAGCATCTAGGGCGACAGAAATCGAGGTGCCTCAGTGTTTTGGTCCATAATAATTGTTTGTTTAAAAATTAGAAGAATCTTGAAAGTTTTGGCTGTGTTCTTTTTGAAAAAAATTTAAATAATATTAGGATCCCTAGGTTTTTTTAAGAATTTAATTTAAATCTTGAAAAATATTTTCTCGTTTTCTCTGTTATTTGAAGGGTTATGTCAAGAGTGACATTAAATTCGTAATCTATGAAAAATCTCTACACGATAGCACAGATTTCCTGTCAACTAGAGCTATATTTGAATATTTTCAGGAATATTTAGGACAACTATTCGCCAACTTCTATTAACCATCATTTCCCGCCCGCACCTCGTTCCCTTTCCCAGCACCATCATCGCCAGCCTCTTGACGTCAGTTCCATTTCCCCATCCACCCCTCGCCAATTTCTTCACTCTTCACTTTCATTCTCGGTACCGCCGAATCCCATTGCGTCGCCTAATTAGCCCAATTTCGCAAGCCGTCTCCACATTTCGGCAGGCCCTGACCGACCCATACCATGCCATGGTAGGTATGCCATGGAGGGGTGTTTCTCTCTCTTCGCGAAGTCATGGTACCTACTCTAGTGGAGCAAGTGACAGTGCATGCGACTGACCGACCGTACTAACCCACATCCGAGGCTAGACTTGTTGGACTTGGTCTGCGCGAAAGAAGTACCGTAGTGCGGGTGGAGTGCAGTGCAGTGCTGCCGAGGATTGTTTGTTCAAGTGTGCCATAGGACTGCAATGGGGAATTACTGCAAGAGGTAGGTCGCGTTGGAAGCTAAATTTTCTAGCCAAATTTTGTTAGAATTAGAGCTAAAATTGTGCAACTTTTGAGATGGTCTATCTGAGACAGTGAGAACTTCTAGGACACTTCATAATATTTAGATAAAATCAAATATGGTAATTCGGAGGTTGCAGCACCGCATTTGTGCAATTTTAAATGTGTATTTAAGTAAATTTTACCATATGCAATTTTAGAATTATTTTTCAAGGAAAACACCTTCTACGACTTTTAAAATTATCAGGGTTTGTGGAAGATTTAATATTTCTAGTATCACTCCGATTTCTAAAAATTTTAAATTTTACGTGTTATGCATTTTGTAGAATTGTTTAGAAAGTGGGTAAAGAGTTTTTATAGAATTTTCTACAATTTTCCAACCAATTGTGTTTGAATAGCTGTTAAACATGTTAAAATATACTAAATAATTCAAATTTCTGAAGGCATTACAGTGTGGTAAAAAATTAAATCAAATTAAATATTCTTCGAAAATCTAGAGCTAATTCTCAATCGATTTTGAGGCATGCCTAAATAGAAAGAAGAATATCTAAAATATTATATAGAAACTTCATGATCTTCTTTTTATAGCAAACTTTAGAATTCTCATAGATCTAAAATCTTCATAGATTCCAGAATCTTTAGATTTTTTCACGAAAAATTATCTCAAAAATATTTGGACAATTTAATTCTATCTAGAAGCTTTATGAAAATTTGTTCGAGAGAAAACTCAAGATTTCTTAAAGGTTCTTTAAATCCAGAATCTTCTGGAAGTACTTAAAACAGTTGCAATTTAGTGGACTTTAAGAAGGTTCTAGAAATCATAGCTGTTCCACTTTTCTTTAAAAGAATGTCTAAAATATTTGGAAAATTTCATTCTATCTGGAAACTTTATGAAGGCCTTTTCCATAGGAAAGCCCAGAATCCTCAAAATCTATGGTGTTTTTTTTTAAATCTACAATTTTCCAAAGATTCTAAAATCTCTTGTTTTCTTCCGGGAAGATGAAATTTTGAAATATCAAAGTACATAAAATACATAGTACAATTTACACTTTTTTTGAAGTTTTAGAAAAATGCCCAAATGTTTAGGAAAAATCATTCTATTTAGAAACTTCAGGAAGTTTTTTTCAGTAGCAAACCCTAGAATAATGAAAATCTATAGCTTTTTAGCTCCAAATTCTCCATAGATTCTAGAATCTTTAGATTTTTTTGTTTACGAAAAGATATCTATAAACTACATATCTGGGAAATTTAATTCTATCTAGAAATTTTATCAAGGTCTGCTCTATTATAAACGCCAAATCCTCAAAATCTATGGAGTTTTTTAAATCCACAATTTTCCATAGATTCTAAAATCTCTTATTTGCTTCCAGGAAGATGAAATTTTTAAATATCAAAGTAAACAAAACAGTTACAATTTACACCTTTTTTTGAAGTTTTAGAAAAATGTCCAAGTTTTTAAGAAGTTTAGGAAGAATAATCAAAATCTATAGTATTTTAGCTCCAAATCTCCATAGATTCTAGAATCTTTGGATTTTTTTCCGAAAAGAAATTCAATTGTACCTAGAAGCTTCATGAAGATATTTTCTATAATAGCAAACCCAGAATCCTTAAAATCTATGGCGTTTTTTTAATCTAGAATCTTCTACAAATTCTGGAGTCTCTTATTTTTTTGGGAATATTATATTTTGAAATACCTATTTTGAAGTACATAAAACAGTTGCCATTGTGTGGACTTTCAGACGTTTCTAGAAATTATAGATGTTTCATTTTTATTTTGGCTTTTTAGAAGAATGTTTAAAATATTTGAGTAATTTCACGCTATCTAGAAACTTCATGAAGCTCTTTAATCTCCATAGATTCTAGAATGTTTAGATTTTTTACAAACGATATCGCTAAAACCTTTAGGAAATTTAATTGTGTCTAGAAGATTCACGAAGATCTTTTCTATAGCAAACTCTAGAATTCTTAGAATCTATGGTGTTTTTTAAATCTAGGATCTTCTATAGCTTCTGGAATTTCTTGTTTTTTTCTCGGGAAAATGAAACTTTAAAATATATAACAAAATCTGTAGTATTTTGGAATCTAGAATGTATCACAGCTTCTAGAATCTCCTGATTTTTTCTCGAGGAACAAAATTTTGAAATATCAAAGTTCATAAAACAATTGCAGTTTCGTAGACTTTAAAACGACTCTGGAAGATATAGATTATAGAAGATCCCCATTCAGTAAAATCGACTCGAAATATGTCAAATTCCAAACGTTTTTGGAAATAGATTTCTGAACGTTTAATGAAATTTTCTTCTTTGGCAAACTCTAGAATCCTCAATATCTACAGTGCTTTTTAAATCTAGGAAATTCCATAGATTTGTCCAGAATTTTTCCCGAAGGATAAAATTTTGAAAAATCAAAGTACACAAAACAGTTGCAATTTAGTGGACTTAAAAAGGCTCAAGAAATTATAGATGTTTTCATTTTTTTTTTAATTCACCTTTGAATTTCTAGATATTTTTGAAATTTTCGATCTCTCTGGAAGTTTAATGAAGTTGTCTTCTATGGCAAACTCTAGAATATTCAAAATCCGTAGTATCTATGATTTTCTATAGATTCTATGACTCTAGATTCTTTTTTGGAAATTTGAGTCTGTCTAGAAGTTATGTGAAATTCAGAATTTCCTGCGTTTTGGAGAAATATTTTCGTTATTCATTTTTTTTAATTATAAGAAAAATTTAGAAACGGGCATTTTAAAAATTCTCATTCTTAGAAATTTTAGAAGCTAGAGAATGATTTAGTTTTTACAATTTTCAAGAAACTAAAATAGAATTTTCTGGCTAGGTTTTACAAGATTATTTTTCGGAAATAAAAGTAAGATTTGAAATAATTAATTAAAAGTCAGTGAACCACCAGAAAGATCGAAACACAATTTACCGGTTTGCTAAATTTCGAAAATTTTAAGCAACTCTGGAACCCGTAAATCTGGCATTCCAAATTCTAGTTATTCTAGTCTGAACACGTTTTTTTTTTAATTGAGTGAAGGGAAGTAGGAAAGAAAAATATTTTTACCAGAGAAATAAATAAATGTAACATAGAGCCATTCTCTTCGTTAACGGTAAATATTAGTACAATTATCTCATAAACAGTTAATTCTGCTACAGTTAGCATAACGATATAAATTGAAATTCATTATAACATAAATTTTTCCCCGACAAAACATATTATTAACAATTTTTAGTAAACCATGTAATATTCGTAACGACTTAATCACAGTAATTGTCTTTCACATTAATTACAATTTTAATAGAATTAATTAATTAGACTTTCATAATACTCAAATTACCGTATCAAACAACAAGGCATTTAAAAACCACGATGTTTATATAAAAAAAAATCATTATATAAGGAACCAGAAAACCCAATCTAGTGACCTTAACCATTGGCGTTTGCCTCCCAAATAACCAGTAGCCGTTACGTCACCGTCCAGCACCCATTTTTGCGTAAACCTAACGTAATTACTCCACCAAATGTCACTAGATCAAAACAACAAACTACGCGACTTTCGCTTCACACCGAATAACGAAAAAAAAATAGTGAAAGAGTACAATTCGAAGATGCGACACGAAAATTTACGACTCGTTTTCTCAGGAAATTATTCTTGATCAGCCGGCGCAAACTTCTGCATTTAGAGCGTGAAAAAAGCCAAAGAAGTGTCAGCCGACTCGATGATCAAGCAAAAGGCAAAGCGTGATTGTTCGTAATTAGTCCAGTCAATGTCGAGGCAAGGGTAAGATCTTGATCTTAATTCTTTCACTCCTAATTGGTTTAGACAAAATGGAGAAATGACCAATGGTTTGGCAACCGATTTACATGAAACGGTAATTAAAGCACCAATTACGAATACACGCATGGAATTGTATATAGTGGAACTGGGTTATGTAATTGCTCAATCGGACATGGAGAGATCTTAATTTGCTGGAAGCGATCGGAGGAATGAGAAAAATTCGGAGATATACATCAAAGTGGAGGCTTGTTTATTTATTTTGGGAGAAGAGATTTAATCGTGAGCTTATGTGAAATTGGATACGGGATTGAGATCGATGGTAAAAGTGAAAGAAAGGTTGACAGGTACACAATTGAGGGGAAAATGGAAGATGGAAGGAAAGATGGACGGCGTAGTCGGTGAAATGTGATCATTGATTAGCTCAAAATGGAGTGGAAATATTGCGTTCTATTTTCGAGTAATAAATTAACAATGATCGTGGCGTCTATGGAGAAAGATGAATTATTATCGTCTTGGAAGTAAAAGTCTTGTTGGTGATCTTGGTGAAAAATTTGAGTCAGGTCATAAAGATAATTTAAATCTGATGCTTCTATGGATATTTAAAACTTCAGGACTTCCACAAGGTGTCGTTTTTGTTACCTTTTCTTTGAAATTTCCTGAATTTCGGAAGCTCCAAAATTTTTGAAATTTTCGATCAAAGAACGTTTATCCAGATTTTTTTTCTCCCAGAATCTCTCACCCATTTTAAAGTTTCTAGATTTTTGATAACTTAGACTTTTTGAAATTCCAGATTATTTACAACCCTTATGATGTTTGTTTCTGTAATAGTCTCTAGAATCTTCTATAAATTCTATAGAATTTTTTAAATTAAAAATATCTCATCTTCTAGAATCTATAAATACTTTCCAAAATATATACATATTTACGTTAATCAAAATTTTTTAAATTCCAAAACACTTACAATTAAACCCGATAAAAATTTAGAATCTTCTTGAAATTTAAATTATCTTGTAGTTTCTAGAATCTCTAGAAAATTAGAATTTTTTTCTCAGTGGAAACCAAAAAAGAATGAGAGGTTAAAAAATTCTTAGATTCACTCAAGTTCTAGGAGCTGAAAAATAATCTCATCTTCAAGAATTTAAAATACCAAACACCATAGAATCTGCCCAACCAATAATATTGTCTTAACAAATCTGTACAATCTACAT